CCTGGCCCAGGTACCAAAGCCTTATGATGTGGTGTCCAGAATAAAGTGGAGGGTTCACTTCATTTGTCCTTCCTGCTCCAATCTCCTTTTCCTCTCCTTCATTTGACAGTCTTTTTTTTATCTTCTGACACTGTTTTCTATCCTTGGCCCCTTCTGCTCTTTTACCTTTCTGCTACTTTCTGCTTATTTTGCGCCCTTCTGCTTCTTTCTCATTCTGATCCCTTTCTGCTCCTTGCAGACCCTTTCTGCTCCCTTTTCTACTTTATCTTTGTGCTCCTTGCTGTCCCTTTCTGCTCCTTCTCCTACTTTACCTTTGTGCTCCTTCTGATTCTTTCTGCTCCTTTACCTTTGTGCTCCTTCCTGCTCCTTGCAGGCCCTTCCTGCTCAGGCCCTTCCTGCTCATTCTCCTATTTTACCTTTGTGCTCCTTCTGCCCCTTCCAGCTCATTTCTGACCCTTTCTGCTCCTTCTACTTTACCTTTGTGCTGCTTTACCTTCCAGCTCCTTGCTGACCCTTCCTGTTCATTTCTGTTCCTTTGTGCTCCTTCTCCTACTTTACCTTTTGTGCTCCTTGCTGTCCCTTCCAGCTCCTTGCTGCCCCTTTCTACTCCTTGATGTCCCTTCCTGCTCATTTCTGTTCCTTCTCCTTTTCTTACTTTACCTTCCTGCTCCTTGCTGACTCTTCATGTAGGCTGTCTCCCCCATCCCTCACTTCCATAGGCGTGCGCACGGGGTGTGTCGGGTGTGCATGGGCACACCCTAATCCCCGCGGCACGCCAATGGATTGAGACCGGCAGGGGAGATCTCTGGGTCTCCCCGGTCGGCTCATGCAGAGCCGACGCTATCCGAGCGGCGGCTCCGGTCTAAGCCTCCATGGGCCGGTGGGGAGATGAAAGTTCTACCTCACCGGTCCACAGCAGCATGGAGGGAGGCAGCAGAGAACCCGGGCTAGAGTTCACTCTCCACTGAACCACCAGGGAAGGCAGCAGGACTGGGATATTAACTACTCTGCCCCCACCTCCACCCAAACATACAGCACACACACAGCACCTACAGCCCACAAACAGCACCCACACACATACATCACCCTTCGCTCACACAGCACCCACACACACCCAGCACACTAACAGCATCCTCACAAACACACAAAACCACACACAAACAGCACCCTCACACACAAACAGCACCCTGACAAACACACAACACACACACACACAGCACACAAACAGCACACTAACAGGACCCGAACAAACACGCACACACAAACACACACAGCACACTACCAGTTCCCACACAAACAGCACCCTCACACACAGCACACTAACAGCACTCTCACAAACACACTCAAAAACACCCTCACCCACATAGCACACTACCAGTATATATATATATATATATATATATATATATATATAAAACACAAGATCCAGCGCACTCACCCATCCACTAAACAGCAACTTCAATGTTGAAAGATTTTATTAGTTTTTTTAAAAACACCTAATCTAGGCAAAAATAATGGGGGTTTAGTTACATTATATGATCATACATTGCATAAGCCTGCCACAATGTCAATGCACCCCATCCTTGGCAGGTCCTACACTAACAGCCTAATGTCTGCTCTTATGAGATTAACCACTTACTTGAGGAAAAAAATTCGATCTGGGGCTCTCTGCAGTACAAGGCTAAATAGGGCCCTGGGATGAGGCACCTGTGACAGGGAGGGGTGCAAAACCAAGGAGTTGGCTAGACTCCCAAATATATATAAATGAAACAAGGGGGGGTTGGCTGCACTCACCTGAACATGCATAAATGGGGATGCTGCTGGGGGCCAAATAATAGAAAACACAAGATCCAGCACACTCACCCATCCACTAAACAGCAACTTCAATGTTGAAAGATTTTATTAGTTTTTTTAAAAACACCTAATCTAGGCAAAAATAATGGGGGTTTAGTTACATTATATGATCATACATTGCATAAGCCTGCCACAACGTCAATGCACCCCATCCTTGGCAGGTCCTACACTAACAGCCTAATGTCACACATACATATACATACATATACACATGGTGTGTGTTTGTGCTTTAGGGTGCACACCCTAATGCAATAGGCTGCGCACGTCTATGCTCACTCCCCTAATCTATAGGCTGCTGCCCCCCATCCCTCACTCACTCCCCTAATCTATAGGCTGCCCCCCCCACCCCGCCTCACTCTCCTAATCTGCAGGCTGCCCCCAAATATACAGGCTGCTGCCCCCCCCCAAGTCTATAGGCTATCTCAAACCCTCCCCCCATCCCTCACTTACGTGATCTATAGACTCTCTTTGCTGGCTGCATGTGTTGCTCCCCTGCGGTTTCAATCAGCAGAGAGAAGCAGGGATAGATGCAGATTCCTATCCCTGTCTCTCTCTATACACAGTTCATTTTCAATCACACGAAAAATAGCAGAACAAGCTGAAAAATCCAGGGGGGGGCAAGTGCCCCCTCTTGCCCCCCCCTGCGGATGCCCATGGATACTCGGCCCACTACTTCTGTATTGGGGCCGCCACTCAAGCAGGCATGTTAGGGTTTTCTGAGTCTGCGATTAAGCGTTTGGGCAGATGGAGTCGGGGCGTTATCGGTTGTACATGCGACCCCATCTGTTGTAATTTTCTCTCTTGTAGGTTCCCCACGCTTTGTCTGGATCCTGGGTCACTCATATATTTATTGGGCAGCGTGCAGAGCTGAGCAAAGGTCCTACGGGAGGAACCTAGGTTTTCCTTTTGAAGTGGCAAGGGTTCGTTGGCGAGGCGTTCGAGGGCTCTCCTGGGGGCAGTTTTACACAGATTGCGGGGAGTTACGGAGGTTTGTTTTGGGGTCTGTGACATTAGTGGTCCATGTTGGGGGTAATGACTTGTGTCGGGAAAAGACAATAGATCTTATATTTCAGATTAAACAGGACTTGGCCCGGTGTATAGCTCTCTTTTGGGACCTCACACTTATTTGGTCCGAAATTGTTCCGTGCCCATGTTGGCGGTCATTGCTGCACACCCATGGGATTGAGCGGGCGTGGCGAAAATTGAACATGAAGGTCTCCAGGTTTGTTCGAGTTCTCGATGGGATAGTGGTCCGTCACGTGGAGCTGGAAGGGGATAACTCTAATTTTTTTTTTCTCATTTATCTTTTTATTGGTACAAGCAAAGTTCAGACATTGTGCATCGCAGTGCACTTATGGCATGCATACCCAACACAGTCACAGCTGTGGATACCGTTTCCCCACATGTTTAGTCCAGCATCCTCCTTGTGCAAGTTTGAAGCCAATGTTGCTTTCCAAGTAGGTGCGCTCACTTTGGACTTTTCTGATTGAAGGCACTGTGTTATGTGGTGCGACTCGTGTCCTTTTTGTGTTGGTTCGGTGTGGGTAGGAGTGCTGCCTGTAATGCGCGTCTGACAAGCTGTCCATGTTTCATTTAGTTTTATAACTTTAAACTGGGGGTAGGGGGGTACAGAAAGAAAGGTTGGGGGTGCCCTAGACAACACTCTATACATATGTTGATTGAGCCCTGTATAACCATTTGTAATCTTGTCACTACTCCTGTCTAATCCTTTGCCCTATGATAGTTTAGGCGTCGCAGTACTGCGGCTCCCATTCTACTGCCTATCACCCCGCTGGCCAGCTACTCCATTCCCTTTCGTATCTCTCACTGCAACCGTTTACTCTACTGGACATTTTTTCATATGTGCTAATCGTATCCATTTTTTGTGTTATGACATCTACTGCTGGGATTTTGTTGCTCTTCCAGTTGCCAGCCAGCACAATTTTCGCTACCGTTAGAATGTTTAGCACTACTTTCCTATGTGGATGAGTGGCCATACCGAGTGCTATGTGAAGTATGTAGTGTACCAGCTTCCTGGGGAGAGTGATACCTGTCCTGCCTAGTAGGAGCGAATCCCCCAGTGATCAGTCAGTAGAGGGCACGCCCAGAAAATATGGAATATGGTTCCCTCTTCTGTGTTGCATCTCCAACATTTCCCGGACGTGCCCGGGTACATGCGTGCCAGCCTGTGTGGTACCAAGTACCACCTCATTAGTACCTTGCAATATGCTTCCCAGAGTGTGAGGCTTTGCGATGCTTTTTTCGTGGTTTCCAGAGCCATCAGCCACTCTGTCTTGGAAATTTGGAGTCCTATGTCCTCCTCCCACAGATTCATATATGTAGGTTTATCGGGGGCCACCGAAGTGACTAGCGCGTTGTAGCATGCTGATAGTGGTTTGATTTGCTTGTGGAAGAGTGCCTGTTTAAGCGTTAGGTGGGATTTGGAGGAGTGGGTGGTGCATAGTTGGATGTGTGAGCGCACTATATTTTTTATTCAAAGGTATAGAAATATATCCCTCGCTGGCAGCTGTAGCTCGCTTTGCAGGATGGGGAATTGCTTAATTTTGTCCCCCTCTAGTATGTCTTGAACCCGGGATTCACCCCTCACTTTCCAGCGGCTCATCGGCAGGTCTGGGGAGAGTATTTCTAATGTTTCCAAGGGTGCTGCTAAGAAGAGCTCTTTGGGGTTCACTATGCAAGGGCTCCAGTTATTCCATGCCCTCACTAGAAACCTTGAGCTCTGCAGTTGTTTCCCCACTACAATGTGGGGGTGCCCCCTGCCCATAAGTTCCGTGTCAGGTCATGGGTGTCCAGGCAGGTGCTTTCCATTGTTAGCCAGATGGGCCTTTGGAGGGTGTTTGCGGGGCATAAGAGCCTGAGTCCCTGCGCTAGAGCAGATGCCTTATAGTAAGCCTTGATATCAGGCATACCCAGCCCCCCACTGGTGCACGGGAGCCCCAGCGCATCCCTTGCCACTCTCGGGGGCTTCCGTTTCCATACATGTGCGTTTATTGTGCTTTGGAAGAGTTTTAAAAGTTTGGTGGGGATGGCGATGGGCAAAGTTCTAAACAGGTACAGTATATGCGGCAGCGCCATCATTTTAATAAGGTTGATGCAGCCTAACCAGGACACCTCAAGTCCTTCCCATTTCTCGAGTGTGGTTCTTAGTTTTTGTATGACCGGGTAATGGTTTTCCCGTATGGTGGTCTGAGTGGACTTCGTGAGTTTGATCCCCAAGTATTGTAAGGAGGTTTTACGCCAGTCAAAAGTGTGTTGTGCTTGTAGCGTCGTGACGATAGTGCTCGACAAGTTTATAGGCAATGCTTGTGTCTTCATTGTGTTGTTCCTATATTAAGAAACCCATCCATATGTGTCGAGCCTGTGTATGAGTTGTGGTAGCGAGGATTCTGGGCGCGTTATAAATACTAAAACATCGTCCGCAAATAGTGCCAGTTTCTTATCACCCCCTGGAGTGTGGAGTCCCTGTATTGCTGGGTCGTGATTTATTAGCCGAATCAGAGGTTCTAGGCTCAGTATGAAAATGAGGGGCGAGAGGGGGCATCCCTGTCGAGTACCATTCCTTATCTCTATTTGGTCAGATATAAAACCTGTGCTAAACACTCTGGCCGTTGGCTTTTGATATAGGGTGAGAATGCTCGACAGGACTTTCGGGGAGAATCCCATTCTAAGTAGTGTCTGTGTCATATATTCCCAGTGTAGACGATCAAAGGCCTTTTCAGCGTCTAGTGCCAAGATCAGGCCGGTCTGGGACGATAAATTTGCCCAGTCTATTAGATTCAAAAAGTGCCTGGTGTTGTCCCCCACTTGTCTCCCTGGAACGAACCCTGCCTGTTCTTCAGAGATGAGATCAGGGAGCATTTTTTTGAGTCTCGTTGCTATCAGTTTGGCGTAAAGTTTGGTGTCTGCGTTTAGCAGGGAAATCGGGCGTAGATTAATGCAGAGAGGGGGGGGTTTGTTTGGTTTGGGCAGTGTCACAATGAAAGCTTCTAACATTTCTTTGGGCATCTCCCCTGAGTCTTTTATTGCGTTATAGAGTGTGGTGAGAGGGGCGATCAATTGCGGTGACAATTTTATATAGTAATAATTTGATAAGCCGTCCGGGCCAGGGGCTTTGTGCTTAGGAAGGGACTTGATGGCCTCTGCAATTTCCTGCTCTGAGAAGGGTTCTTCCAGAGAGGAGCACTGTTCTTAAGATAGGCGCGGTAGATCTACTTGTTCTAAAAATCGTGCAATTCCCATTTTAGTCGGTTGGTGAGTGTCGTGATTCCTGTCTAACTGGTAAAGGGACGCGTAATACCGTGCTAACTCGTTGACTGTGTCCTGGGGGTTATATAGTTTTACACCTCGCTCTGAGGTGATATAGGGTATTTTCGACTGCAATTTTGTTTGGCGAACTTTTTGGGCTAGAAGTCTTCCCGCCTTGTTACCCATGGTATAATATGTTTGTTTGAGGAACCGCATCCTCTTTTCAGTTTCCATTAAGTGTAGTGACCTTAGTTTTGATCTGAGCTTTGTCAATATGCCATGCGTGCTTTTAGTGGGTTTGCGTTTGTGTGCCTCTTCGTGTTTGATTATATCTTGTTCTAGGTGTGTTCTTTCAGCATTGTGCTGCTTCTTTACTCTCGCCCCCATCTGGATAAAGCTTCCCCTTATGACTGCCTTATGGGCTAACCATTTAGTGATTATTGATGTCTGGCAATTCGCATGGATCTCAAAGTATTCCTTTGTTTTGACCTGTATTTGAAGGAGGTTTCCTGGCGTGTCCAGGAGGCTTTCGTTGAGGCGCCAGGTGCCTCGTCCCCTAGCTGGGTACGGAATTTTTATGGTTATAATTTGTGGAGCGTGGTCGGACCACGTGATCAGACCGATTTGTACTCTTAGTGCAAATGGTAGTGTTCTAGTGTCTAGGAGGCATAAGTCTATTCTGGTGTAGGTCATATGAACGGGCGAGTAATATGTGAAGTCCCTCTCACGGGGGTATAGATTTCTCCACGTATCAAAATAATCGTGTTCATGCATAAGGGTACTGAGGTGCTGGCCTAAAGCCAAAGAGGCTGGCTTTGGTGGCTCATTATTTACTCTGCTGATATCTAGGGATGGGTCAGGAGAACAATTAAAGTCCCCGCATATGATGGTGTGTCCTTGTTTGTGTTGTGCAATTGTGCGGAATGCCTTGTTTAAAAAATATTTCTGCGCTTCATTTGGGGCATATAGTGAGACTATCGTCATTTGCAGTCCGTTCAGAGAACCCACCAGAATCAGCAGCCTCCCATCCCGTCTAGCGTATTGTTTGGAGAGGGAAAATACCCAGTCCCTATGGAAGTATACGGCTACCCCCCTGGATTTAGTCGGTGATAGAGCGTGATAGCTTTGGGCGTATTGTTTGACATTAAATCTAGGAGTATTTCGGATGCAGAAGTGTGTCTCCTGCAGGCACACTATTGCTGCTTTAGTTTTAACCATTTCCAGCGCCGCCATTCTGCGCTTATGGGGGCTGTTGAGGCCTTTCACATTTAATGTTAGGATTTTCAGTTCGTCAGCCATACAATCCTTTGTGAGGCTGCTTGTGTAGAGCATGCGTGTACGGGTAAGAATGTATAGCAAATGGTGTTGGTGTTGTCCAGGGGGGAAGGTTTGGGGTAAAACTAGGATAACAAAAACAAGGATCTGTAACAAACTCAAGTATATACATAGCGCCATTTGTTTCTTCAGCGCTCGTCCTGGTTTAGGTGCAAGTCGGGTGTTCTTTCCTGTCTCTGCACGCAAACCTAGGGGATGATCTGGCTGTGAGAGCATGCCACCTACGACCTCCTTCGAGAGTGTTTTTCCGCCCTTCCCTTGGATTGAATTTCCCCTGCCCAGGTGGGTAGTTACCAGCCTACAGGTCCCTGTAGTTGGACAGAGATCTATATGTGACTTTGTATCCATCTTTTTGAGATTGCTAAATACGTTTTTGGGAGTCAGGATCACCTTTACCCTTTGTACCCCAGCCCTTGTTCTGCCTGTCCTTTAGAGCTCATGTGTTTACCTCTAGTCCTTGCCCTGGGTGTATGGTGCTAAGTTTGTGGTATTATGTCCCTATACATGTGTTCACGCTCATATATACTCACAACATTGTCAGATCATTTGCAAGAAGCAAGCGAGACAGTCACTGTTATGCATACAGCAGTCCTTGTTGAGAGGAATCTTTAAGTTGTTAGATTAGGGAGGGCGATCCCGCCATCTGCCATTCTCTTTGCGGGCGTTTTGGCGACTCTACCGGTGCTCTGTCCGGAGACCTCACTGGAAATAGCCCCCATTCCTTCAGTAGCCGCATGCCCACCTCCGGTTCGTTCGCAGTATATGTCCTTCCGTTTTTCCAGACGATGATCTTGGTTGGGTACCCCCAGCGATATTGAATGTTGTTGTTCCTTAACGTCTTTGTGACTGTTATAAACTCCCGCCTCCTGCTCATGGTCATTACTGACAGGTCTGCATATAGTTGGACTTTTTCAAAGGGCGCCGGCAGTGTTAACGCTTTTCTTGCCGCTGAAAGTACCACATCTTTAGTTTTAAAATAGTGGAATCTCACTACTGTGTCACGTGGCGTGTCTTGCGCGAGCCTCTGAGGCCTTGGTAGCCGGTGCGCTCGGTCCATGATCCACTCTTGTTCCGGTATCGTCGGCGCCATTGTCTTACATATTGACATTATGTATTCTGCAAGGCCGTCATTTGCCACAGATTCCGGGATCCCTCGGAACCTGATATTGTTCCGCCTCGAGCGGTCTTCCATGTCGGCTATTTTCTTTTTTAAGAGCATGTGCTCTTCATTTAGGCTCTGCACCGTTTCTGCCAGCGTGTCATGTGCTGAGCAGAGTTCATCTTGTCTGGCCTCCAAGGTGTTTGTCCGCTCCCCCAGCTCTGATATTTCTTTTTTTATGTCATTTGTTGCCTGCCTGAGGTCCCTTTGCAGAGCCACTCTGAAGTCTTGCAGCATAATAAAGAGCTTCCTCTCCGTGACCGGGGCATCGGTATAGAGGCTTGCCTCACTGTCTTGCTCCTGGGGGGAGTCTGAGGGTTGCGATAATGCTAGTCCGTCGCCGCCATCTTGTGTGGGCCGCGTTCTGTCCCTTTTTTGTTGGCGGATCGGGTCTGTGAGTTTCGTCTGCTTAGCAGGGGCCATTGCAGCAGGCTACTAGTAGTTATGCTTACTTGGTCAGGTTTTAGGGCATGTAGCTTCGGTATATCAGGCTTTGAGGTCCTTCACGGCCGGGAGCTCTCACACCATGCGATAACTCTAATTTAATGAGGAGAGATAATGAGAGAGTTAATGAGAGCGAAGATCTGTAATGTACAGACACAGTGTGCTGGGCCCCCTCTGCAGTAACAGGTAGCCGGTGCCCCGCAGTTGCACATACTGTATATAAAGCGATATATAAAGCGATAATTGCTACTTATATATGCACAAAGGGAATGTAGGTTATGGTTATCACCCCCTGATGGCTGCCCTGCGTGAGTGTGTATGTGTGTCTGTCAGTGAATACGTGTCTGTCAGTTAGTGTGTATGTGTGTCTGTTGGTGAATATATGTGTCTGTCAGTCAGTGTGTGTAACTGTGACTGAGTGTAACTGTGAATGAGTGAATGTGTATGTCTGTAAATGTATATGCTTCAGTGAAAGTGTGTGTTGGTTAAACAGTGTGTGTGAAAATGACTGTGCATCTGTCAGTGAGTGCATGTCAGTACATTCATCAGTAAGGGAGTGTGTCTCTCAGGCAAAGAGTGTGTTGGTTTTTAAACAGGAAGAAACATTTAGAAGAGGGCAGCACAAAAGCAGAATACACCACTGGATACCTCCCCATTTATAGTTGTACCTTACATTCAGGGCCGGTGCTTGGATTTTTAGGTACATAGGCGAAGATGCATTTTTCCGCCCCCCCCCCCCAAAAAAAACATCTTCACCTATATGCCTCTTAACCAGCCTCTTAACCAGCCCCTCTCCCCTCCCTGACCATTAGTAGTCCCTTCCCTTCCCTGTCCCTTAGTGTTCTTCTCCCCTCCCCCCTTTTCCCTGTCTCTTGGTGTTTCTCTCCCATTCCCTCCCTGTCCCTTGGTGCACCCCACACCCCTTTAGTGGTCACACTCCCCTTTCCTGGTGTGCCTCCTACCTCTATTGTTGCATTGCCGAGTGGAGCAGATTCCCTGAGCGGGTGGTTGGAGCTAGACTAGGGACGATGCTGCAGCTTTATGAATAACTCGTGTATGATGCTCCGTACTGACTACCCTCTCCATATTTCTAGTATGTAGACTACTACATCTATTTGGTGATCCTCTATTAGAGGCTATTTTTGTTACATGTAGATAGCTATGTTATCATTCAGATTATTGAG